GGGGGGGGGAGGTTGCTGGGGGCCGAGCTCCCGCCATTGCACACCAGCCGGGGAAAAAAGAAAGAAACCCCGTCAAAAAAAAAAAAAAAAAAAAAAAAAAAAAACTTATGATAAAGACAGGTTTACTCAAACAAAATTCAATTTCGGACTAGAAACATTCACTCAAATTTCCTTTCTAAATTAAAAAAAAATTCTTTCTTTTCCTCATCATATGTTTGATTTTCATGAGTGTTTCCATTTTTTCAGAAACACAGAATATAACATTGAGCAACTAACACTGTTAAGCTGAGGAATTACTTGATCATTTTTGGCCCATCCTTGAATTCAAGAGAACTTTAAAAATGAAGGAAAAAAATATCAGCAAGATGAAGTCTTTCATACCAGTTTTATGTACTTTACTAAAAGCGGTATCTATAATAGAGCTTATTTTGATTTAGAAATTATGATAAACTTTATACTCACCTACATATCCATTATTATCTGCATCAATTTGTCCCGATATAGACTGTCCAAACATACTTAATGATTTGCTGATCTGAAGTCCTTCAATTCTCTGAAAAATAGTAAAGTTGAATGGAAGTAGTTTTTGAATACTAGTATACCAGAGAAGCAATGATTTAGTTAAATAATGACCTTTCCCAGGCAGGTCTTGGCACACTTACTAACAAAATTGCAATTTAGTTAAATCAAATACTTCTAAGGATGACAAAATTTTCCAGCTCGAAATGAACAGGTGACATCTATTTTGTGGCTAAAAATATTTACTTTATGAGCAAACGGAAAATTATGTTGTACAGATTTGCTAAAATAGTCCTGACTCCCTCTCTTTTTAGAGATGGGGGTCACCTTGGCTGGCCTTGAATTCCTGGGCTCAAACAGTCTTCCCAGCTCAGCCTCCTAAGTAGTTGAGATTACAGGTGCACACCACCATGCCTGTCCTCCTTAGGTCTCTTCAAGCTCTGTATTTACTCGCCCAACATGAATAACTAAATAAGTATTAATGTGGAAAACAAGATGTCTATTAATCACTTAGTGGAGCCCATGATTCAGGCTTTTCATAAAAGCTGACTCTTTAACAAGAACAACCCTAGCCAGATATGTACTTTCCCTTCCATATATCTAATTTCATGTTCATATACAGATTTATAAATGTTAAGCTGATATCCATACTAAGAAAATTAGTATTTTTACTAGACAAATACATTTCTTTCATGTCAATTACAGAGAACGATTTGCTTATTTTTGCCTAATTAAAAATAACTGTGCCAGCTAATATTTCCATGTAACTATCATGGGAAAAACTTTTCTCTGCATATCAATGTCATTTTTTTCTATACACTGAAATGCCCTGAGTTTTCAACATATAGAAGTGAAGTAAGAGTAAGATCATGAGACTTTATTAAAGTGCTATCATCTTACTACTCAAAAGAAACCCAGAGTATCATATGTATGATCGATCTCTCTACGCAATCTTCATGAAATATGGGGCTCTAGCCACAAGGCCAAGACACAGTTAATCCAAATGAGCATGTTTTAGAATCACATAGAGATTACCTCAGAATAATGAAATACAAAGAGAAATCTTTAATGGGTACAGACAAGCTAGAGTGGAAATGAACTACAACTCTTACTTATGGAAAAAGGGAATTTGAAGAATTATTAATTCATTAAAAGAAGATCATTTGCTATTATAAGTAAATGGTAAAATAAAGTGTTAAGTATTTAAAAGAGAACGTGAAGAAAAATAAGTCCACATAAACCCTGGACATTTTGAAGGATGCTCCTCATCACCAATGCTTCTTTTGGAAATAGAATAGTATCTTACCTGAGAGAAAGTCGATGAGATCCCATCTGCACGGCCATTGTAAATATAAATAGCGCCTCGCAAGTCATCTTCTTGTGGAGCTCCGATAGCAACATCTATCCAAGAATGTAAACAGTGGGACGATAAATTTTTGATACAAAGAATGCAACTTTGAAAGCTAACTTTATGATCCTTAATTCATGTCATATAAGAAAACTCTTATGAAAAATAACACTCGGAAAAAAATTAAAATATAACCATCATCATCATGTACAGGATTGCACACAATAGTTTGTATATGGAAGAAAGCAAAGTGGATGCATCTGAGAGACAGTCTCATAAAATAGTTAGGGCACAGGCTCTACAGCCAGACCACTGGGGTCTGACCTGAGCTCTGCCACTGGGCACTGTTATGCAAGGCTGGGCCCATTTCTTAATCTGTGTTTCAATTCCCTCACCTACATAATGGGATCATAATAAAAGCCACTCTCAGCATAAAAGGGTATAAGTTATGTAAAGTGCTTAGAGAAGTGCCTCACATGTAATAAATTCTCACAATCTAGGAATATGATCATAAGAATTTTTATTTTGAGAGTCTAGATGTACCTTATTTGCAAAATGACTTTTAAATTAACTCCTATGCCAATGAAAGTGATTAAGGTATCTGTTAGGGATATCTGTGTGTGTGCGCGTGCACACACACACACACACACACACAGGATTTCAGAAAATGGATTTGTTTGGTAAAATAGTAACTATACCACCTTTCTGTATTATTGATAATTATGTCAGACTATGACACCAAAGGAAAAAAGATCTGATCAACTGATATAAGAAAACCTGGGTAAATGACATGGTTGCTTAAGTGCTATAAATATATAGCACAAAGGAGAAAAATAATATTCTACAGTTGCAAGAGCATTTCATTTTATCAAGCGTTGTCTATTCACATATGCAATTTATTACTTTAATAGAAGCCTAATGTGTCTATCTAGTTCATCTTCATGATATTACTTATTACTGTCAAATCTAAAACCTTTTTATTAACTATAGTGGTAATTTTTGACTACTATTTCAATGAGAGTAAAGATATCTTTGATGTATAGCTCTATGGTAAACACTGTAAAATAGTAAAAATGCAAAGCTTTTCTATTTTCAATTAAAAATAAATGGTAGACACCTATATTTACTTTGTTTAGACATACTAAGGCTAGCCTTTTTTGACTTGTACAAAGTTTTTCCAACTTTCATATACAAATATGCCTATTCATTTATTCATTAATTGGACAGCTAGTGAGCACCTACTATATTCTAGGCATTTGTCAGAAGCTGGCAAAACAGAGCAGTACCATGAAAAGAAACTCATTGTCTAGTAGGGAGGAATGACAAGCAAGAATAGAACAGTAACACAGGATGTGAGGAGGAAGTGATGGAAATTAGGGAAGGCTTCTCATAGAAGATGATGCCCCAGATAAGATTAAAGTATCCATAGGTCATAGCCAGGTGAAGGAAATGGGAAATGCAACTTAGAGACAGGGAAAAGCCTGTGCAAGGGCAGGGAAGCAACAGGCAGCATGGCACACGTGAAGAATGGCAATTGGTTTGGAATAACTGGAGTCAGATTTGTCCAGGATAAATACATACAGGAACAGAGGAGCAGGAATGGGAAGAAGAGAAGGACAGGAGGGGGAGAAGAGGGATGTGAGAAGAAGGAGTGGGGAAAAGTATAGCCACTGAAAAGAAGACAGCAATTTCTTTAATCTGGGCTGGGTTTATACTTCCACCACTGTGGTTAAATCTTTAGAATTGGCTATACATTGATTCTTGATGATAACACATGACTAAAATAGCAAGCCTGCGTAATGAAGTAGTTGATGTACAGAAATTTTTATAGTGTCTCTTCTTAGCAAGAGCGATCTAAATTAAGGCAAATATTTAGAAAAAAATACAGATGAGCCTTTTCAGCCAAAATATTTTAAAAGCCCAGATAAATTTTTTTCCATACAAGGGACACTTGGGTATATTCAATCTTTGGCTATCTCATATACAGGTCCAAATTCTTACTTCCTGGATTACATTTGGATCTGTTATATAATACAGTTCTAGCTATCACTATACAAATAAGAAAAATACACTTTGAAGTATATACAATGATGTTTTCCATGCTTACACAACTTAATTTGGGACACAATATACAGAACACAGATATTTAACGACTGCTTTAACTTTTCATCTGAACATTTTATTTCATTTTGTTAGTATAAATCATAATTATTAGTATTAATGTCAGCCAATCCTTACATAATGTTTACAATATAGGCACTGTGATATGGGTTTTGTGCACATTTACCCAAGTAACTCTCACAACCACCATATTAAATAAATGCTCTTTGACTCCAACTTTTCGGATGATGAAACTGAGGCACAGAGTATAACCTGCTCAGGGTGACAGAGCCAGGGTGTTGTGCAGCTGAGATTTAAACCCTGCAGCCTGGCCCCAGAGCCTGGAATATCACCATGCTCTATAAGCTCATTAGCAACAGAAGTCATGCCCCCAAATTTCCCTTCCTAACACCTATTCCTGTTCTGTGTCAATGAGGTTCTGTCTCTATCTCTCTCTCTCTCTCTCTCTCTCTCTCTCTCTCTCTCTCTCTCTCACACACACACACACACACACACACACAGACACACACACACACAGAGAGAGAGAGAGAGAAAGAGAGAGAGAGAGAGAGATGGAGAGAGAGAGAATGCCATTCGGTCATTTAAAAAAAAAAAAAGAAATGATGTATTCTACAGCAACATGGATGGAATTCGGGGGGTCATTATCTTAAGTGAAACAAGCCAGGCACCAAAAGTAAGATAGCCTATGCTCTTACTCATAAGTCAATGCTTTAAAAGTGTGTTCACGTGGACATAGCAAGTAGAATGGTAGGCAATGGAGATTCAGAAAGGGGAAGTGTTGTGGGGGGTAGATGATGAGAAATTACCTAATGGATAAAACAGAGTTATTTGGGTAATGGGTACCTGCAAGCTCTGACTTGATCACTATGTAATTGATATATGTAACAAAATTACACTTGTACCCTATAAATTAACACAAATTTTAAAAAGTACTCACTTAATGATTTGATAATATGTCACTATTTCAGGTGCACATGTAGTACAGCTTGTAATTTACAATTGTAGAACTTATTATGGTTCTGCCCTAAAAATATTCAAACATATAGTCTAAAAATCAGATAATAAGGCTCAACGTGAACCAATAAATAGTGGTCTTGTCAAGTCTATTTTATATATGAAATCAAAAATGCTATTTTCTTTCAGTCATGTCAGTTATACTAGTCTGTCTGACCAATGTTTTTCATGCTTTTGATGAGTTTTACATGAAACTTTTGCCAAATCAATTGGTCATCTTCTTCCATTTGAAAATTTTTTTTCCATTTGAAAAAAATTGAAAAATGATATGACAAATGCCAAGATAACTTAAGGTTGCTATGCAAAGTACCACAAAAATTTGCATAATAAAAAGACATTAAGTGTGATTTGCATCCAATACTAGAGATGGAAGATAAAAGAATAGGTAGTGTTTTTCTTCTCTTTCTACATAATCCTACCCTTCTTGCCATGAACACAAAGTATCTTTACCCATCCACCCAATAAAAATAAAATGAGAGATGTAGCAAAATAATAAATTCATAAAAAAAAAAACAAAACCAACTTGTAAATTCCTGCTGTTTCATCCAGGCAGACATGGTGGAAAGGAATTAAAGACCTCAACGAAAAACTAGGACACCCTGACCCTGCTTCCACATCAGCAATGGTCATGCTAATATCTAAAATATAGAAAATGCCTATTCATGGGCAAATCAGAAGATGAAATATAAACTGGACCAAGTAGAAGATATATGGCATTATAAGCATTCACTGAAGTATTAATGTAGCCACTAAAAATAAATATGAGGTAAATTATAAACGACATTATAAACAGCACAAAAATACACAGGAATGTATTTTTAAATCATTTGAATAATAACCTTCCAAATACAAAGGTATTACCTTTAGGAGTGGAGTGCTGAGGGCTCTCAGTGAAACAAGAACTGTGTGAAGCCCAGTGTTTTTATATAGGAACTGAAAGACTGCACTGTCCCCTGAAAGTCCCCGCCAAAGTCCTCTAAGTTTCATGGACAGAACACTCTCTGTCCGTCTGTCCTTCACACCACTGGAAATTACTCAGGCTTTTTCCAGGTGCTAGAGTAATTTTTTAAAATTGTACTTTAGGTTCTGGAGTACATGTGCCAATCATGCAGGATTGTTGCATAGGTATATACATGGCAATTTGGTTTGTTGCCTCCACCCCTGTCACCTATATCTGGCATTTCTCCCCATGTTATCCCTCCTCATCCTCCCCGCCCCCCACTGTCCCTCTCCTAGACCCCCCCAACAGACCCCAGTGTGTGATGCTCTCCTCTCTGTGTCCATGCATTCTCATTGTTCAACACCTGCCTATGAGTGATAACATGTGGTGTTTAATTGTCTGTTCTTGTGTCAGTTTGCTGAGAATTATGGTTTCCAGATTCATCCATGTCCCTACAAAGGACACAAGCTCATCCTTTTTTATGGCTGCATAGTATTCCATGGTGTACATTTGCCACATTTTTTTTTTGTCCAGTCTATCACTGATGGGCATTTGAGTTGGTTCCAGGTCTTTGCTATTGTTAACAGTGCCAAAATGAACATACATGTGCATGTGTCTTTATAATAGAACGATTTATAATCCTTCGGGTATATACCCAATAATGGGATTGCTGGGTCAAATGGAATTTCTATTTCTAGATCCTGGAGGAATTGCCACACTGTCTTCCACATTTTGATAAGGAATTTGCCTGTTGCTCAAGATAGTTTTACAGCTCTGACTAAAACAATAATTCAAACTTGTCATTGACATTTTGATGCCACAAAAATAATTTCTCATGTATGCATTCACATATTTTTCACATTCCAAAGAGTAAAAATAGTGAATGGTCTTCCTTAAATGTGCCAGTTCAAACAAGACAGAAATCATAAACCAAGTATTTTACTAAACAGTGATATTTCATTTTTAAAAGAAAGAATTGGGATTGTCTCATACAACACATGTGACGTATCAAAATGCATAAACATGGTTTTACCTCTAGGTTTTTATTAGGTAGAATCCTTAAATTTACCATTGAATAAGGCTTATGTTTTCAAGCATTAATTTTATTTTCCACTTGATTGCAGAACTCTAAAAAAGGATGCCACCATTATCTCATTTATTATGGTACATATTCTGTACCTGGTATGGTACATCTGACCCAAAATAAATGTTCAATAAATATCACAGAGTTGCTGCTTACGAGATGCAACATAAAGCATAATAAAATTTTCTTTTGTTTTAAATAAAATCAGTCTTTTAAAAAAATATAATAACAGTTTCTCATTACTGTTCATTAAAACTACACACTTCTGAATGGAGAGATCAGTTAGCAGTGAATGCTTTTCTATGACACTGAGTGGCTGCAGAGGAGCAGTGCTGATCTGAATTTATAAAAACTCTCAAGAGATGTGAACTCAATGTGATCAGTGACGGCAGCAGCTTAGTGCACGGTGCGGAGTGATGGCCACTACAGAAGTGCAAACCAGGTGTCCTGACTCCTTTTGAGGAAGGGCATAAAATAGGACATGATCCCTCTTACAGTTCCAATTAAAACAGCTACACCACCATCCTTCACCCCTTACAGGGACAAGGTATTTGTGAAAATGAGTCAGTGCCCAACCTGGGGTCCCAGTGGGGAAAGAAGGACAGGGAAGCTAGTGATGGGTGGGGTACAGAGAGGCTCCCCTCCATACATGTTTTAAAAAAAAATGTCATGTGTTATGTGTAATCACAATAACTGAAAGTATATACATATATTTTTTTTCTTTCCTTTCAGTTTTAAAACGGTAAACAAAAAATCCAGAACTGTAATACTGTATACTACATTACACTATTTTACGTTTAAGTCTCACTGGAAGCATATATTCAATAACTGACTTTTTCTGTAAAATAATTCATTTTATATATTTAAAGTAGATTGCAGCATCTAGGTGCAAGAAGACATTAAGGAAGTGAGAATGTATGGTACTCTGTCACTTATCTTTAGCATCTGAGAAAGCTTTAGCCTAATATTATCACACACTAATTGTCAATGGCCTTATCAAGAAGACAATATGAACCTGAAAATAAGTATCAAATACTTATGAGCTGAACTCCAGGAAATTGAACACTCTCCTCTTACACCTATTCATCATTTTCTGAATCATCATTCACAGTTTTAGCAGACTCAGTTACTTACCACTTAGAACTAGACTGATAAAAGCAAAGGTTAACAAGAAATGCTGGTAGATGCAGGGATTTCAACAACAGGACTGGCATCCATGGCAAGATGCAGTCACCACACTATCATCTAGCCAGTTAGTGAAAGACTTCGATATCAGTGGTCAAACAGCCACTGTCCCCAGGCTTCCCAGTGGTCTCTCAGAATCTCTTCTGGAATTCCCCAGATTCTCCCACAACGTAGCTATGGGGAATGCCTGGTAGAGCAAGGGGCTTCCATAACCCTGTTCCAGCTCAGCAGCCAGACTGTGTTGGGTTTGGTCAGTGTCTTTATTGTACTGATAGCTAAATACCATGGTCCAATGAGTCTATGGTACACACTTACTACCCATATTTTATTATTTCTGAAATCAGGATCTTTCTTAACAAAGAAAAATGGTGGGTATCACAGCTTAATAGGCAGCATTTTTTAGGGACACATAAATAATGCAGTTTCTAATCAATGGTACCTTAGAATCACTGGAATAAGGTATTTTGAATATCATCTGTTATTAACAGTGGTAAAGACCAATGGGTGACAATTGAGGAGAAGTCATAAGTAACACTAAAGAAAAGAAAAAAGTCAGCATGCCATTCTGGCTCATTTTTCTATAGGAAGGCAAACAACACAAAACTTTAATCGTATTTTTTTCGTAAACCATTTTGAAAGCAGAAATCAAACACCAAATTGACAATTACCTTCAAAGCCATCATTGTCAATGTCGCCAAGATTTGCTATAGATTCTCCAAATCTTGCAGCGTATTTGTCACTTCCAACGAGGTTTGTTTCCATTGCATTCATTACTGCTCCCTAGATAGAAAGGGAGAGAAAAGGTGTCATTATAATACTCTCCGACAACTTTACACATGATTTACTGTTGTAATTGGATATGGATTTTTTCTAATGCGTCAAACAAGTTGGACAAACCACAGACTGAGCTTTAGTACACACATCTCAGTTCAATTCAATAAATATTTATTGAGTCTGTCAACACATAATAGTATGATTAGAGCTCAGAGGACATAAAACATTGTCAAACTCGTGATCTCTAGCTTTGAAAATCCAATAAATCATTTTGATAATTCAATTTAGCAAATATTTATTGAGCTTCTACTAAAGACAACACACTGTGCAAAGAGTGAAAGGTGAAAGGGGCAAGGCAGTGTGTGTAAATACTCCCTTTCCTCAAGAAGCCTAGAGTTACAGGGCGGGCTTAGCACAAGCAGACAAATGACTAAGAAGTAGAAACTGCTTTACAATATCAAGAGCAAATAAAAAAGAATATCTAATTATAACAGAAGAGATTTCATAAAGGAAGTGGCATGCCAGGTGGCTACTGAAGGATAAGGGTAATTTTGATAAACAGAGAAAACTAGCAGCAAAACAAATTCCAAAGAATTTGGCTCTAAATGAATGGTATGTATAATGTACGAGACAAAAATGTCAGATTGCAGTCTTATTGTGTAGCATCTTGATTGTTGAGAAAAATTTACCCTTAATTTAGGGGACAATAGGAAACACTGAAGGTTTCTGAGTTGAGGAGTGACGTAATTGAAGCAGGCCTTTGGAACCAGCAGCAATGGAGCATAGATCAATCAACTGATAACTGGGAAGGAGGAAGATGAGTTACTACAATAAGACATTCAATAATGTAATAATTAGCTGTCGCAATAACAGCTACCAGTTCTCTTTGCAAACTTCGATCATGTCAGTCCTTTGTATTTAAAAAAAAAAAAAAAAAAAAAGGCCATGTCCTTTCAAAACTATTTGGCATTCCCTAGGCACACACATGTTCTTTCCTTGTCAAGTGTTTTTACTTGCGAATTTTCCAATTGAAAAATTCCGATTTTTGTCTTTCTCAAATACTACTTCCTCTGTGAAACCTTCTTGACCCACAGGGAATCACTTCTTCTACTTTGTATGTACTTATAATGTGCCACACACCATGCTGTAGTCAATTGCTTCCTCCCATTGGTGTCTTCACTAGATCCTGAAGTCCTGGGGTCAGCACTAGAATTATTAGCTCTTTTTATAAGTCCTGGTTACATTTCAGATACTCACTAAATGTCACTTATTTTAAATGAAATACGATGACTGGGAATCATCTCTATAAATATAATCACTGACACCGAAGCAGTGAATGATTGTAACAAGGGAGTCAGGGTTAAAGCAGCTTGGCTACTGAGCAAATGTCTAAATTAAAGAGCAGAAGGATAAAGAGGCTCCAGAGAGAAGAGACAAGATATAGGCTTAAGAAAACCCAATGGCTCTGAAATTCTGGAAGGAAAGTTTCAATAGGAAGTGGTGATCCCTCTTCTTCAAGTATTCTCTAGTCACTGAGAGTGGTGACTAAGAGTTCACTGGGAACCCCAGAGAGCTATTTTACTACAAGTAGGTAGAAGCCAGAGTCACTCAAGTACCATTCTTCCTCGAGTTCATTCAAAAGAAAATTTCACCTACTTGTCCAGGACTCTTCCAAGCCCTGAGGAAACTGTGGTAAACAAGGCAGACAATTTCTCTCCAGGTGGCATCTATACTACAGTAGAATAACAGACAATATCAAATCGAATTAATGTAAATAAATGCCACTTAGTGGTGAGTGCCATTTCAGAGAGCTGAGAAATGAGAGGTTAGGCAGGAATGAGAGGGAACAAAGGAAGACTAATCTATATCGGAGGATTTAAAAGCTGAAATCAATTACTAAATTAATCCCAGTGTTTAATAAAAGTAGCACCTTGGGGTAGGCATGAGAGAAGAACAAGAGGGTAGAAAAGTGAGTAGTAGGGTTTATCTGTTTTTTTCGTAATGAGATTAAGATTTCAGTGGGGGGGAAATGATTCGACATTGCTTTACTTTAGGTATACATGTGGATGTTTGGTTGTAAAGAGGAATATAAGACAAACTTGCAGCATGAAGATGTAGCAAGTACAAAGACCACTAGTTTTGGAAGTAGAAATGTGAAATCTATGGAAGAATATCATCTGATATCACTATTAATGAGCTTCTAATGATCACTGTGTAGATAATTTGCTTTTATTATTAAATGTAGGTTAAATACAGACTAGGAGATACCACAGCATAAATAACTTCCCTGTTCTATAATCCTCCATTTATAAGACTAGATGTTTTCGTTCTTAAATTGTAACGTTTAGTCTGATGCTTAATATAAGAACTTGCTAAATGCTCTGAAACCATTTACTAATCATAGATACAAACACTTGAAACAGAGTTCACTTTGCTGAACCTGACTTTAAAATGCTGTGCCATAGAAATGAACCAGTTTTCTCACAAGCCCACTCTTGTTTTCAAATCAAAGGAACAGGCCGAGAAGATCTCATTAAGACCCTATCAATTTTTTGTTTTAAGGTCAAGTAGCTACACTGGCAAGATAAGGCCAGCAGATGTCTTTAAGCTGAATTATCAAGTGGTCAGTTTCTACCGCAAATTATCACTAATAATTTAAAATTGAATCATAGTCAGTACTTAGCTATTTATACAATTAATATATTCACTTTGGAATAAACTGTGCCAATTTTATACTCTTATACAGAGTATAATCTATTATGAATTATGAAAATTAACATTTTAATCACACAACTTGTTTGTAATTGTTTTCAAATCAAGAAATTGAAAACTATTTAATTCTTCATCTTCTAATCCTAGTACTATTTTATAATTTAATTTACATAAGGACCTTAACTAGAACTCTTAAGAGATCCACCTTTTGAAGGAGGTATAAAAATTATTCTTTCAAATTAGATTAGTATCAACATAAAACTGAAAGCAATTTCAACTGCCAGAGGGAACACATATAAGCTGTGAATAGGAAAACTCCCTAACAACCTATTTCATACTCCTGGAAAATCAAAATGAGACACTTTCCCATTCATCATCATATTCCATTTCATTTTTAGAGCATCAGTACAGTATTAGAATTTTAACATTTGTCAGTAAAAGAAAGCTAAAAATAATCTCAGATCTCTGGAATAAGACCAATTTCAGTTTTGATTATAATTCCATAAATGGCTTCCATTGGGGCACTTGGACATACCGAGCCAGAGTTGATGTACACAAACACTCTTCCTTCCTCTCTGATAGTGCTCTGCATGGGCGCTCCCACCAGCAGATCTGAGAAGCCATCTGAGTTGAGGTCCACAGCACAGACAGAAGCTCCAAAGTACGAGCCAAGCTGTCTCAAAACAAACCAGATCCGCTCACTGAGAAAAAAGCAGGGCTACTCGCAAAAGCCCTCAGAGATACTAAAGGTAGAGACATATTACCTTTTTACCTTTCATTTCATGTAAGATACTTAGTTCTTTTGCTTCAATGCTGAATATATATGCCTGTAATTGGGAAAAGAATTAGAGAAGTTTTTATGAATACCACATTTTTTTTAAAAAACCCACTCATTTCTGTTTGATCAAAACATGAATTTTTATGACTTGTAGTTAATTGCTCAAATATAAAAAAGAAATCCTTTTAAAAGTGGCACAAAAGGGTTAGGGATCCACTGTTACATTAATATGCCTTACTTGCAAAAGTATTTTCTCAGGAATTATCTTATTGATCCTATAGAGGGGGTACAGGAAAATTCTGCTTAAGTTTTCAGAAGTAAGCCTCAGAAAAGTTGAGTGACCAGTGTTCACATAGCAACCCAGAAAAAACTAAAACCAGAAATATTTCCTTCTTTCTAAGTCTTACCACAAAACATGCACTGCCTCAATTTCTTCTCAGCTGTGAAACTCTTCACCATATACTCCCTGGACATTTTTAGGTAGTTCTGTCTTAGAATTTCCTTATAGGAAACAAAGTCTCATTTGGCTTTTGCAATTTTTCAGAAAGCTTTTTGCTAAATTTATTCTAAAACCATAACATATTTTACCAATCCCACTAAATGTAATAACCTGGTTATCATATCTAATCTTCCTTTCCTTACAATGTTTGCAGTTTCTCCTTCAATATCTTATTCACGCAATGTATTTGAACGTTTGTGAAGAAATAAATATAAAAATGTAATTCTTACTTTACCAATCTGCTCATGTTGAGGAGCTCCTCCAACTACTTCAGTAGTATCCTGACTCAGAAAATGACCAGCTCCAACTGAATATCCTTTAAGAAAAGGGAGAAAGTATGAGAGTCCTGAGTGAAGCACATCATATGGGAATATGGGTAAAACAGATCATAAATCTATTCATAAAATTTAATTATGCTGAATTCAAAGTGACTACATTAAGCAGTTTTAATATTTAGCATAGTGGTAACTCAAAATTAGCCATTTATTATGTTTTATGCAATTTTGACATGTGTCACAAAACTGTAGTCATATGGCTTGTATTTCCAAGTGTTAGAAACTGAAAATAGCATCTTTACATCTGGTTAGTCTCTGTGCAGTATAATCAGTTTCTAGGATTACAACAGACATATTTTAGAGTACATTAAATGTAATGTCTCAACTGGAAAATGAATATTTTAAGCTTTAAAAATCCTGCTAAAGTTCAACTTTTTGCCACCAAATCTTTCTTTTGTGACTTTTTGATGATAAAAGGTAACATATTTTTATTTTATGTGATAAAAGGTACATCAAGTTATATTTGTTAAACTATTTCAAAGTATCCTTCAATCATAAATAAGAAAACTTGAATTGTAGCAAAATTCTACTTGAAATTTCTTCTGTTTGTATGGAAGTAGTGCTTGTTTTATGTTTCTAAGTATAAGATGCTCACATTTGACACATAAACAGTTTAAACAAACCTGGATTTTCTGAAAACCTATAGGAAAAGCACTTATTTTCTTGTAATGGACATTAATGTCAGAAAACTTTGCATTTCTGTTGAAATACAGATGATAAAGTATCCTATTGACTTATGAGATGATAGTGAGCAGAAAGATGGCAAAAATAGTTAAACTGGGAAATATTTTAAGAACTTATGAGGTGAAGGTCAATGAGCCATTTTTAGACCCATATGCTTCATGAAGCCCCTTATCCAGAATGCGGTGGACAGTACAACTGGCCTTCAGTTGGTCCTTTAAGAAACTGTACTTACTTATACAGATGTTTAAATGAGTTAATTCATGTGAAGTTCTCACAAAAAGTTCCTGGGATATGGGAAGCACTCAACAGAAGCTACCTGTGTAATCAGTTGACTACATAAAGATAAAAACTAATGTTTCCTAACTGCAAAGAGTAAACTATGAGTTCTACTAAGAATTATATATTGATGACTTTAGTCACATGTATAAATGTAAAATATTAAGCTAACTAAAGTTTCATAAATCCTATCCTTAGGAGACAGTTTCTGAACTGCCTATTACTGTAATTACTGGCCACTTAGATCTTTGGAAAATACAATTTTCCTTATTTATAATTATAGTACTAGTATTTGTAAGACAGAGATAATTTGAGTTTGTCAACTTTTATAGTACCTAAATAACTTCCAAATTTTACTTGATTTTGTTCATCTAAAAAAGCCTTGTATTCATTTGTAGTTATATTGTAGACAAAAAGAGAGCCAGTCCAATAAGATGATCCTGGGGCTCCCATCACAATTAAATCCTGAAAAAAAAAAAAAAACAAAAACCTTTAATTAAAGTTCAATCTTACCACCCTAAACCTCCTCCAGATACATAATAGACAGTGAAGAGAACATATTTTCATAATAATAGATTTCTGAAGCAGGAACATTGTGAAGTTAAAACATATCAGAAAAAAAAGAAAAAAAGAAAAAGCCAGATAAGTTGGCTAATGGATTTCTACCAAAAAGCAGAATCTCAGAGAAGAAACTCTGAAACTGTCATTTAACATATTTATCAGTGGATTTCAAAAGTTGAAGGGAGAAGCACCAAACACTAGAGTAAGCTTTTGGGAGAAAGGCAATGTGGTTCCTACTAAAGAAAATCATATGTGGGTAATTCATCAGGGCTCATTATGAAGATAATCATGTGTTTCCAAAGAATAAAAAGTGGCCTTAATTTATTTCAATTTGCAAAGAACTACTGACTAATTTTCCTAATAATATTAGCTTAGGGAAAAAAAAAAGTCCAATGGAATGTGGACTTTTTTGTGATATATAGGAATTTAGGAGAAGGAACAGAAGATTGGAAGGAACATGCCCTTGTCTGGTACAGTATGAAAAGTTTCAGCAATTAAATCTGTTTAGCATATTTCTACATTTCCGTAATAACCCTAAACTTCAAAAAGAAGGTCAACTTAAACTGAAGAAAGCATTTTCTTTTTAAGCATTTTAATATGACTGTTAACATTTACAGGCATTGTTAACCCCAGACTTAATATGGCCTAATCTTCATGGAGTCAGAAAACACTCCTGAATTCATAGAGGGTTTTTAAGAAAAACTGAGATTTGGGGTTGAGTACAACTGTGCCCTTTCACAGATATCCTAGAGTGTTAGGAGGAGAGTAATTAATCTTGGGAATATTGTCTATCTAATTTAAGGGGATATTAAGTTCTTAAATTTCCCAATTTCCATGATTTTAATGAAAAATATAGACTGATATATAGCCCTTCAACTAGAAATTTAAAACAACATACTTGGGTTGGTATTTTTAATACCTAAGTTAACAAGGCAATTAACTGTACCTATTTTTTATTTTCATTAAATTCTTGAAAGAAATATTTTTCAGTATAGATTTAGTTTGTCTTATGTAGTATAGCCATCTAAATGTTGATATTTTATTGAATAATGGAATACTGAGTGGCAAAAATTAAGTTGTAATACTCAAATTTAAGAGACATGATGCAGATGTTGCACAATTTTTACTTTAAAACATAAAATCAGTCTTCTAAACCATCAGAAGATTCTATATGTAAACATTTATAGCAGCTATTATTTAAACTATTACCTTTGTGTAAAAACTAGATATTCCAGCTTGACATGATGCAAAATGTTCTCCAAATTTTTTCACATGATCTAAAATGAAATATTAAAACAACTCAGAAGTTTATCTAAAAGATATAATCTCCACAATTTGTTTTTTTAAATAAATCCTTACAAAAACTTCCTTTAAGGTTTATAGTTTATGCTTTTTACAAAAAGAAAAACTTTAACCTTGATATAATTTAAGATAATAAATCCTTTCCATATTAATATTCAATATAACCCTATGAAATGGCAATAAAAATATCTCCCTTTGCCTCTTCTTCATAGGAAGCACACACAGCATACACTCAAAAAAATTTTGTAAAATGAGTAAGACAGACGTAGGATTTGTGACTTTGTGTCCATGTTTTCTTTCTACTATATATAGTTAAGGTGTACAATGTTTGATATACATATACATAGTGAAACGGTTACTACACTTAAATTAACATGCATGCGTCCTCACAGTCATCTTTTTTTGTGCATTTAGAGTGAAATCTACTCTCTTGGCAAATTTCCAGTGAACAATACAATAATTAAGTCTAGTCCTCATGCTGTACATTAGATCTCTAGGCTTATTCATCCTACACAAATGCGGCCTTGTTCACTTTCACCAACATCTCTTCAAACCTAACCCTCTCTCTACCCCCAGTCTACTCTATGTATTTGACTTTTTAAGATTCCACAGATAAGAGATCATACAGCATTTGTCTTTCTATGTCTAGTTTATTTAAATTCAAATAATGTCCTTCAGGGTCACCTATGTTGTCATAAAAGACAGGATTTTAAAGGCTGAATAATACTCCATTGTATATATTTATGTATATATGTGTGTATGTATACACCTCACACACAATTCCTTACCCATTTATCTGTCAATGGACACAAGGTTGTTTCCATAACTTGGCTATTGTGAATGCTGCTGCAATGAACATGAAAGCACAGATCTCTTTATGTGGTACTGATTTCATTCATTTGGATATACATAAACCCAGAAGAGGGATTGCTGGATCACATGGTAGTTTTATTTTTAATTTTTTGAGTAACTTCTCTATTGTTTTCTATAATGGCTGTACTAATCACCATTCATGCCAACAGTCTACAAGGGTTCCCTTTCCTTCACATCCTCGCCAACACTTGTTATGACTTGCATTTTTGATAACGACAATTCTATTAGGTGTTAAGTGATACTTCATTGTGGTTTGTAATTTGAACTTCTTTGATAATTGGTGATGTTAAGTAGCTTTTCATCTACCTATAGGCCATTTCGATGCCATCTTTGGAAAGAAAGCCATTTGGGCCATCTGTTGACTATTTTTCAATCAGGTTTTTTTTTTTTTTTTTTTTTTTTTTCTTTGCTATTGAGTTGGTGAGTTCCTTAACTCTTTATCAGACACCTGCAAATACTATCTCCCATTCTGGAGACTGTCTCTTCACTCTGTTGATAATTTCCTTTGCTATGCAAGAGCTTTCTAATGTAATCCTATTTGTTTATTTTTGCTTTTGTTGTTTGAGCTTTTGGTGTAATTTCCAAAAACTTATTGTCTAGACTAATGGCAAGTAGCTTTTCCCTTATGTTTTTCACTAGGCGTTTTATGGTTTCAGGTCTTATGTTTAAGTCTTTAATCCTGTTCACTTTGGTATATTTGCTAAGGGTTAAATTTCATTCTTTGGCATGCAGCTAGCCAATTCTCCCAACAGCATTTTTTAAAAAACTTTCAGGTTCAAGGTTCATGTGCAAGTTTGTTGCATAAATTACAAGTTGCTGCGGTTTGGTGTACAGATTATTTCCCCATTCAGGTAATAAGCACAGTACCCGATAGGTAGTTTTTTGATCCTCTCCCCTCTCCCACCCTCTACCATCAGGTAGGCCCCAGGGCTTGTGGTTCCCTTCTTTGTATCCATATGTACTCAATGTTTAGATCCCACTTATAAGTGAAAACATGTGGTATTTGGTTTTCTGTGTTAGTTTGCTTAGGTTATTGGCCTCCAGCTCCATCTAAGTTGCAGAAAGGACACAATCTAGTCCTTTTTTATGGCTGTGCAGTATTCCATGGGGTGTATGCATCACATTTTCTTTATCCAATCTGCCACTGATGGGAATTTAGGTTGATTCCATTGTCTTTGCTATTGCCAACACCATTTACTGAAGAGAATATCCTTTCTTAGATTTTGCCCAACTGAAAATATAGGCTGAATCAAGATCTGCATGAACATGAAGGTCTCTTATTAAAAAGCCTCATGAATGAATGCTTTTGGAACTCACTAAGGGGGCAAAGCTTTGCTTCTTTCAAAAAAAACTGACACAAGAAAACTTCTATGAAAATAAGAATTGGAACAACTGCTTCCTTTTGGCTTTGCTAAGCAGAGAACTTAATTGCTAAATTATTTATAATTACAATTTCCAGTCAGAAAATTCCTGATCTTTCTAGTCAAGAATTTTCATTCCTTTAAAATATATATATATTTTACCTGGTCCTGTATTTTACACAATTGTAGATGTGTTAGGTTTATGACATCTTGAGCTTTTTATTGTATGTGGCTAGGTAGATCTGAGAAAAACTGAAAACTCTACTCTGAAAATATTTTAAAGATAAACCATAAACTATTAGGAAAAATAAGATAAAAAACATACAGAAAACTAGACTGAGTTTTACTGCGACTGAGAATTCAATAATCACTTTTTTAATCCTTTGGGTATCCAAAGGCAAAATAGCAATATATGTAATATAAGCTGCTCTGTGACCTCAGATTCCAGGGAAGAAATATCCAAATATTATCAAGAATTGAACTCAAATTCTTTGCCAAAGTTTTGTCAACTAATCAAACTTTTCATCGGATGCTGGGGGATTTGAGGGTGAGGGTGGTTAGAAATTAGAAATTGGCATTCACATGTTTCTTAGCTTTCTAAAGACACATTGTTGGATTTTAGTTTTGCTGCAGATATCACTTGACATGCTCTGTTGACATTCACCCCAACTCTGCTCACTTCTGTTATTTATGTCCTAGCTCCATACTTGCCGATGCTACCTATAGCATAGAGTTAACATGAGAAAAATGTTTCAAACTCAAGGTACCAATCTCTTGCTGCTTGAAGGAATACATGTGAATCAGAAGAAAGATAGTGAGTAGGAAGGAAGGATTTGCTTACACCGATTACTATATTCTTTCCGATTATCCCTGGAAGCTAAAGGTAAAACAGGAAACCTAAGGTCTTTTTCTTTTTAATCAGACTTCCAATATAATTTCACAATTTTAAGTATCCTGTATTTGCTGGGCACTAGACTTATACCAAATTGAAAGTAAATTTAATGCAAAAGTGAGTAATTCCCAGTTAGATTGCAGAGTTATTCAAATTGTAAAATTTTTATAGCACAAAGTGCATTTATGAAAACGAATGCTATTGCAATTGAGTAAGGAAAGAACAGGAAGAAACTGGGTAGTTAAAAAGAACATAATTACTTAGAATATCTCCCTCTCCTCTGAATATCTAAACTTGAACATAAAAACACTAAAAAGCATTCACTTACTTATCTTGAGCTAATTAATATCAAAATCATGCCTTACCTTGATAACACGGAGCTATTCTTTTACTCATTTCTGCTCGTAAATCAGGGGGTATTCCATAGCAACCACCAGTGGGGAGCTTATTTTCATTCTTTATGTAAAATATATTTTTCCATCTATGCCCACAAGTCTGAATAAAATAAAAGTAGACCAAATGACGTGAAAGCTGCACCCAGGGTAGCCGGTTTCACGATGGATTGGTAGATCAGTTCCAATACCTACCACGATGGATCCATTTTCCCCTGGCTGTCTGGAAAGTGTGACCCCCAACCACTGATTGTCTCTCTCTTCCAAACAAGTCCTTCCACAGCGTTCTCCATTAGGGCTACCTACAGCATTTGAACATAATTTTATCATCAGTTGTCTTGAAAACATTCTACAAAAGCAGAGAGAATAAACTGTGCACTCATTCCCAGTATTTTTCCATTAACCAGTTCTTTAATATCTTATACTCAGTGCACAATGTGAGGATAATGAATTAATCTGTGCCAGCATAGTTCTTCTTTAATACAAGGTGGCTTTTGTTTGCAGAAATGACCTACAACTGATGGCACCATGAAGAGATAGACTATCATACAGGAGACAGCTAACAGGGCTACGAGTGGGGAAAACTAGTTAAAGCTAATACCAGGTTGTGCAACTACAACTGCTGTGTCTAATGTTTGGAAAATAATTAACTATTTATCTAACAGCATAAGCAATATTATCAGAGCACTTTTAAAAATGTTTCTTCTACTGAGATATCAAGAATAGAAAGACCATAATACATCCTCAGTAATTATGGTACAATTTATTGGAGCTGGAAGGTGATGATTAAGCATGCAGACAGTGGAACATGGAATTAGCATACCAATAATTCCTTGCATTTAAAGAAACTACCCTATGTTTCCATTTATTGGAATATGATAAAATTATTTAGAAAACCAGATTATTTCAGTAGTAAATTAAAAAAACTTCAATAGGCACTTTGGAAAATCAGGAATAGCCAAAGTCAAACATAAATAAAATACTCATGTACTATATAGTACTTCTATACTGTATAAGAAGTGGTCTTCACAGTAATCATTTTTGTTAGCAAAAATTCTTTGTATTATACCTGGGTTCCTATTGAAATCCTATGTTAAATAATTTTAAATAAGTTACTTTGGGGGAGAGTAAGATGCAGTATTTTTGCTGTCTTTATTTTCACCCTCTTCAGTTGGCATATGACAAATCTATTGCATCTGTTCTTAATTCCAATGGCAAATAAATGCATTGATTGGATAAGGCTGTGGAACTTGGGTTTAATTTTGAAAGCTGGTCGCTAGGTACCAAGTTTTCATGAATTTATGGTGACCATTCTCTATATCACTGGCTCTTTTCTCCTCCTATAACGTTGACCTAAATGCAACTTCCTGGGCAAACTCAGAACACCTACAGAGATAAGGCTAATATTTGTACCACTGGGGGTCTTGCTATGTTACCCTGGCTAGTCTTGAACCCTTGCTGCAGGTGATCCTCTTGCTTTGACTTACCAAAGTGCTGGGATTACCAGCAGAAGCTACCATGCCTGGGAAGGCTAATATTTGAGAAGCGAAATTATTTGCACTAAGTCTCCTGGGTAGGAGAGACTGTGTTTAAGGAGTGTGGAAGATGTTTGTTTATACTTTTGTTTTCCAAAATGTTATTCAGGAGAAACAAAACCTTTAGTCACAAATGAAGGGAAGAAAATGTTCAAGTCCCTCCTCTGGAGATTCTCCTTCAGCAGGTCCAGGTGAGGCCCTGATTATCCTAGGTCAATGGTCCCCAAACTTTTCAACTCCAAGGACTGGTTTCATGGAAGATGATTTTTCCATGGGCAGTGGTGAGGGTTGGAATAAACTGTTCCACCTCAGAACATTCAGCATTAGATTCTCCTAGGGAACGCACAGCCTAGATCCCTCACAAGTGCAGTTCACAACAGGGTTTGTACTCCTATGAGAATCTAATGCCACCACTGATCTGACAGGAGGCAAAACTCAGGTGGTAATGCTCACTGATCCACCGCTCACCTCCTGCTATGCAGCCCAGTTCCTACCAGACCATGGGCCAGTACCCATCCACAGCCTAGGGGCTGGGGACTCCTGTGCCCTAAGTGGTTCTTACAGTCAGGAACACTGCCACAGTGATATAGAGAATGTTTTTCGGGGTAGCCTACACATAGAATAATGACAACTCCCACTAACTGGTAACAGCTTCCTGGAGAACTAGACTGAAAGGAGGAAGACTAAAAGGTCTGAACAAAGAATGCAGGGATTGATTAGCAATGGTTGCTATTAGAATTGTAAAGGAGTCTTGCTGTGGCCCAAACAATTGTCCAGGTGGACATTATGTAACCTCCATCCTCTCCTGTCACCTTATATTCAGTATACAATGTGAGGATAAGTGTGAATTACTCTGTGCCAACATATTTATTCTCTAATACAAGGTGACTCTTGTTTGTAGAAATGACCTCTAACTGGTAGCACCACAGGAGATAGTTGTCTCCTGTATGATTGAGTCTAACAGGACTAGGAGTGGGGAAAACCAGTTAAAGCTAATACGAGGTTGTGCAACTACAACTGCTGTGTCTAATGTCTGGAAAATAATTAGCCATTTATCTAACAGCATAAGCAATATTATCAGAGCACTTCAAAAAATGTTTCTTCTACTGAAATATTAAGAATAGAAAGACTATAATACATCCTCAGCAACTAAGGTAACACAGACTTTAAGGTCTGTGTTAAACTGAGAAAGGAAGGGATGAAGAGAGAAATGACAGGGAAAGGGAAGAGGAAAAAAGAGGGAAGATGGCAGGTGAAAACAAAACTGTGTGTGGGAGATCGGTAAGGTCTGAAACAGGGAGTTGTTATTGTGGCTACCTGATGCCAAACCAACGAAATTAAAGTAAAACAGAATGACAAACAATGCATTTTATTTTCATTGTAATGCATTTTTCAATTTTCACTAAAATCAGTTTTTTTACTGTCAAAAATAGATAATAAATGGTAGATTCTGTCTACATGAAGTTGAAGTTTCTGTTGTTTGCTACAACAGCCATGTTAATAAATACCTTCTGAAAATACTAAAATTTTTATAAAGTTATAGTCAACACTCAGTTAACTAAGATAATTGATCAAGAGGGAAATTAAGGACAGGAGAGATGGAGGTCACAAATAACATGGTATGCTTAATAAACTCTTTCATTAAGATTACATCCAATATTTAGAAACAAATCTATTATTCTAGACAGAGCCACCCAGAAGATTAAAAACAGACAATAGTTTAGAACCACAAAATACCATGTAAATAGCTTGACGAAAACAGCAAAAAGTTATGTGCAAAAATAGCATATTATCACTTGTTTCTTAGCTGAACTGTTTTGTGAATTTCTGAGTGAAGACTAGGCAAACTCTTGCATTATGAACTGTTATCTGTTTAATATTCTGCATTGCCTCTTCGTTTTAGTTTTAGCTCCATCAGGTGACATCACAATGTCATCACTGCCCAGTCTCACACTGAGATTTACACACATCACAAACTACTCACTTTCCCACTTACTAACATTACTTTCTTGAAACATCTTTCTCTCCATGGGAGTGCCTCCCAGCTCTCTGGAAAAAGAACCACTAAATCATTAGGCTATTTTAGGATGTGTCCCATGTAGTCTCACCAAAGTCCTGGGGCTTTATTTCTAGTGTGGTTCATGTCCTTCCCTTCTTACTCTAGGTTAAAAATAATGACTCTTAGAAACAGGAGAACAAATAGCCCTCCAGAAGCCACAAGAAAGAGATGTTTACCTAAGAATAAATGTGGAGGCCGGGCGCGGCGGCTCAAGCCTGTAATCCCAGCACTTTGGGAGGCCGAGGCGGGTGGATCACAAGGTCAAGAGATCGAGACCATCCTGGTCAACATGGTGAAACCCCGTCTCTACTAAAAATACAAAAAATGAGCTGGGCGTGGTGGCACGTGCCTGTAATCCCAGCTACTCAGGAGGCTGAGGCAGGAGAATTGCCTGAACCCAGGAGGCGGCGGTTGCGGTGAGCCGAGATCGCGCCATTGCACTCCAGCCTGGGTAACAAGAGCGAAACTCCGTCTCAAAAAAAAAAAAAAAAAAAAAGAATAAATGTGGGAAGAGCTTTCCCGGGAAGCCAGTGATGTGGTTCATTCACCCATGAGCAGAAGAGATTTCAAATAGAAAATCATATGACAGGTGTGTAAGTGGGAAATTGGTGGGGTGGGGGGGGGGTCAAAATGCCACTAGATGTAATCTCACATCTGTTACAATGTGATTTCAAACAATATTGCCTTCTAATATATAGATAAAATTTCTGATTCATAATTTTCAAATATCTCCTATACAGTTGTTAGTTAATCCACTGTTTGATACTGACAGATGCCTCTCAACATCAGCAATCAAGGGTTCTTAGACACACAGGATATGATCACTCAGAGGAAATTATGGTGAAATTGATTAATATCCTGTAGGAAGAAGTATTTTCATTTTTGTTAGGGTTAACGACATTTATTTACAATGTTTCTGCCCTACTTCCAAGGCTGAGTAAATAGTGACCACATTCATCTTGCCCCGGACGGTATCTTTGTCATACTCCCATCCCCAACACACAGTCCAGAAATGGGTGCTGAAGATGGAAAGGTCACTAAAGGAAAAACAATTCAAAGCTTCTATTATGGTTTGACTACACATCTTTTTAATATCTTAATTCAAATGTGTGTAAAAAGAATGAGTGCACCACCAGAAAGAAAATTCATGAAAATAGCCATGAAACAATCATTCTTCCACAGAAGAAAAACCAATCTTAGTAAGCGAGCAAATACATATACTACATTTAGATATGTTTCTCCTTTTCACTTCTTAACATTGCTTTTACCATAGAGGCAGCCCCTAACAGCAGTGATAATACTGAGGTAACTTTCAAGTACTGGCTACAGGCTAGAATCTGTTCAGAGAACATCCTGTGAGTCCCCATTAGCGTTCTGGGTCTTTTAATTCCTGGAACTTTTTCCCCTGTTTCTATTTTTTATAGAGACAAGATCTCACTCTGTCACCCAGGCTAGAGTACAATGGTGTGATCATAGCTCACTGCAGCCTCAAACTCCTGGGCTGTTGCAATCCTCCCACTTCAGCCTCTTGCGTAGCTGGGAACATAGGTGCCCGCCACCATGCCCAGCTTCTCTTTTCTTTTTGTTGTCCCCATGGAATGTTGGCAGAAGAGGCAAGACGTTC